AGGGGGAGGGGGAGGAGGAGGAGGAGGAGGAGGAGGAGAAGAAGAAGAAGAAGAAGACTGCTAGAAATTATTGGGTGAAAAAGTAATTTTGTCTAAATTCAGAAATTTTATCAAAGTTGTTTTAAATACAAACTTGAGATAAAAGGACTGATAAACAAAAACACATATATAAAGATATTTTTTTGGAAAAAGAAAGGTAGTTTAAGTACTTACAGATAAGAAAAGATTTTATTTTATATAGTATAATCCTAAAGACGTGACCCTAAATCAAAGAGGATACTGACTTCTGGATCCTCCGCTCGATCAATATCCAATCCCACCTTGAAGTAATTACTGAAGATTGACCATCTACAGGCAGCTGTGAGAAGTGGGAACTCTGGGAGGTGGTTAGGTCATTATGGACTCCAAGAGTGAACCCAGGTAGCTTTATAAGAACAGAGACCAGAAAACACGTATATATGCTCCTTTTCTCCTGCTGTGTGATGTCCTGTATTGTCTTGTGATTGCCAGAAAGAAACACATTGACAGATGTAGCCCCTTGGCCTTGGACCTTCAGACCCATAAAATCAAGATAAACCAAGATAACCTCACCCCCCCCAGGACTGGACTTTAGGGCACTGTCTCTGAGCTTTTTTGCTCAAGGCTGGTGCTCTACCACTTGACCCACAGCTCCATTTCTGGCTTTTTGGCAATGAGTCTCACATCTTTCCTGCCCAGGCTGACTTTGAACCTTCATCTTAACCTCCTGAGCGACTAGGATTACAGGCATGAGTCATGAGCTCTCCCCCACCCCACAAGATCACTTTTTTAAAACTTGCTCGGCCTGTGAGATTATGTTACTAAAAACAGAAAACTGACTAATAACAGACAAGCCTGCTCTTACTCATGGGTAAGAATGATGATTCTAGCTAGAAAATAGACCATAGGTTTATGCAGCAGAAAAACAAACATTTGTTGTTGTTTTTTTCTCTGTGAGTCGCTATGGCACTCTTCTAGAACAATCTGTGGTTGAAGTTCCCCTAATGTTCTTCAGTGGACACCAAGGGGGAGTCCTCCAATTCAACTCAATTCTGAAAATAAATACTCAGAGATAGTTGGTTCTCATGGGCTCTCTAAGAGCTCAGTCCCACAAGTCTAGCCCTACTTTAGATGCCAGTCCTAAGTCCCCAAAACTTCTCACCAACAGACTACAAATGGGGATTTCTATCACTCCACTGTCAGGTTTGATAGATTTATGAGAGCGCCCAGGGAATTCAGGGAACACTTAGTATACTCATTTGTTAGAATGGGATTTGCAAAGATACAGATAAAAAAGCCACTAGGCACTGGTAGCTCACGCCTGTAATCCTAGCTATTCAGAAAGCTGAGATCTGAGGATCGTGGTTGGAAACCAACCCAGGCAAAAAAAATTCCCTGAGACTCTTTTTTATTTTTTGTTGATCCTGAGGCTTGAACTCTGGGCTTGGGCACTATCCCTCAACTCTTCAGCTCAAGGTGAGCACTCTACCGCTTGAGCCACAGCACCACTTCTGGTTTTCTAGTGGTTTATTGGAGATAAGAGTCTCATGGACTTTCCTTGCTCAGGCTGGATTTGAACCGTGATCCTCAGATCTCAGCTCCTAAGTAGCTAGGATTACAGGCGTGAGCCACCGGCGCCTGGCCTAAATGCCTCATAGAAATTTAATTTAATTTAATTTATTTATTTATTTTTGTTGGTCATGGGGCTTGAACTCTGGGCTTGGGCGCTGTCTTTGTGCTCTTCAGCTCAAGGCAAGCATGCTACCGCTTGAGCCACAGCACCACTTCACCTGAGACTCTTATCTCCAATTCACTACCAGGAAACTGGAAGGAAAGCTGTGGCTCAAAGTGGTAGAGGGCCAGCCTTGAGCTGAAAAGGTTCAGGGACAGCACCCAGGCCCCAAGTCCAAGCTTCAATACTGACCGCCCCCCCCCCCGCAAAAAAAAAAATCCAGATGAAGTGGCACATAGGCAGGGACTGTGGAGGGGAAGGAACAGAGGTCTTCCCCAAACCCCTTTCTCTCCCTGTGTCCCACCCTCTAGAGATCTCCTGGTGTTTAGCAAGCAACCTGAAAGCTCTCCAAACCCTGAAATTCAGGGATCTTTAAGGGGAGCTGTATTTTGTCAGCATGACCAATTATGAATACACTGTCTGTCCCTCACTCCTCACCCAGGGAAAGAGGGATGGAGCTGAAGGTTCCATGTGTCTAACCATGGGCTGGCCTCTAAATGACCAGCGCCCATCCGGGAGTCAGCCAGGAGCCACCTCGCTCACACAGCCCAGGATGTCAGATGGTTCAGAAAATTGCCAAGGTCTTGGGATCTCTGTACTGGTAACTGGGTCAAAGACCAGATCTTAGATAAAAAGAGCCTCCAGGTAGTCCTCTCTGAGGACTTTACAAGCTTCCTGGAAGCCACTAGAGGCAGAGACCAACACATGCATTTCTATAATGTCTTGCTTTGCCAGAGAAGAAGCCAGGGAATCATTAGGAAGGTATTACAGTCAGTTGAGCCAGGTCAGGTGGTAGCTTGGACAAGGTTATAAGAATAAGAAGAGTGGGGGACATGGGAACCCACAGATTTTTCCCAGTGCAAGTGGGGTATGAGAGCAGAGTCAGACACAGCTTCCAACCTGGGTCATGTACAATTGCACTAATGTGAGAGGGATGGGAAGATTGTTGGCTGAGTATGTGTGGTATAGGGTGTAATGGTTCAGTTAGGGGTTACGTTTGAGAGGTTTGTTAGCCATCTATGTGAGGTAGAAGAGTGGATAGATGAGTTTCCTTCTACTGGGAAATTGATGTTGGCAGTCACCAGAATGCCATGGGTTGGGACTGGATGTAGTGACACACATCTATAATCCTAGCTACTAAAGAAACAGAGTTAGGGAGATCTTCACTTGAGATTAGATTGACTGTGGGCAAATGCAAGATACCCTAGCTAAAAAATAAACTGAAGCATAATAGAGGTGGAGGTATAACTCACGTGCTAGAGCACCAGCCTAGCAAATGTAAGGCCCTGAGTTCAAACTGCTGCTGCAGACAAGATAGACAGTAGATAGATGATAGACAGACAGACAGATGCCACTGAATAAGTGAGAATCCTAGGGGAAGAGTAATAATAGAGGTAAAACACAGTACAAGGAAAACAGAGCCCTGGGGTAGCTAACAGTCAGAAATCAGGTAGAGGGCTGGGCATGTGGCTTAGTGGTGGCATGCTTGCCTAGCATGCATGAGACCCTGGGTTCAATTCCTCTGTACCACGTAAGTAAGATAAACTTTTAAAAAATCAGGTAGAAGAAGAGAAAAAAAGCAAGCAATGGAGGAAGGGCTGAAGGGGTAGAAGAACAGAGTGACATTTTAGAATCCAAGGGAAATGTTCAGATGTGATTAACATATCTGCCTGTGTGTTCCTAAAGATAGAAACCAGGGCCTCATTCTTGCTGGATAAGCTCTCTGTTCCCAAGATCACCACAGCCACTCCTGAGATTTTTTCTTTCAATATCAACCCCATGGCTGATTCTGTTCTTCCCATTAGTAGTTAGCTGGCACCACTGGTAGAGGGGAAAGGGGGAGACGTGTTGGGGAGGGGAGGAGAGGGGATATGTGCAGGGGGAACACACCTTCACAAACTGGAGATGACGTTGCAATGTCCAGAAAGGCACCCCTGCTTTCCTCCGTGCTCCAAACGGCTGGCGGTCCAGCTGGGACTGGATGCTGTTTCTCCCTACAGAAGGCAGACAGGCGTTTGCTTCCATACAGTATACTGATTTGTGCATTTGAAGCTTGTCTGTAGTCTTTACCGACTCAGAGATTTCAAGAACTCTAACCTCTGCCAGAACTCTCTTTCACTATCCAAAATGCCTAGCTTAGCTACTGTTAAAGTACCTACCTTGTGAATTTTTTTCACAATTACAAAATTAAATTCATAGTTGTAAAATTATAGGATTTTAAAAAATGATCCATCCAAAAGAAAGGATTCTCCAATCAGATCAGAGACGAACCCCAACTGAGTGCTTCGCTCAAGAACCACATCGGAACTAGCACAGCTCCTGCTTGGTTTGCATATAAGCAGAGCCAGAGACCCCTCCCCAGTCCATGAAGCTCCCAACTGCCTGGGATTTGAAACCTGGTTATCCTGAAAATTGCTCATTTTTCCTGAGCTAGGCACCCAGAACCCATCCCTGACCACCTCATACTTGAGAGATGCAGGAGGCAGCCCTTCTTTTCCCTTCTGCCTGCCACCCTCCTCCAGGCCTCCAGAAAGAAGGCCACCGTAGACTCTGTGCTCACCTCTTCGGGAGCCTCTGGTCTAGCTGGAAGCTGGGAGGAATGTCTGGGCCACACAGAGCCAGAGGTGACAGCAGCTCAGCAGTTAGCAGTCAGGCTACTGTCCAGCGTACAAGCCTGTGGCTTGGGAACAAATATCATTGTGAAACTGGGTTCAAGTTGACTGCTTTTCTGGGAAGCAACCGAACATGGCAAGTGTCAACTTCCTGTAAACTCCAGGCTTGTCAAGAAACCGGTGCTTTTGCTTTTGAGTCTTTCCCCCTGATGTGCATCCCTGAATGGGAGAATGGGGTTAAAGTCCAAAGTCAATGGCGTGGCTGGGGATGTGGCTTAGGGGTGTAGGGTCCACCTAGCAAGTGCAAAGCTCTCCGTTCCTTTCCCAGCAAGGAAGATAACAAACCAACAAACACAAAGCCAGAGGTCCGAGTCTCCTGCTTCCCTTCCCAGCTGTGTCCTTACTGCCCAGGGAGGGTGTAGAAGGCAGTGGGCTATTTAGAGCGGCTGCACAGTGAGCACACTGCTCACCTCCCTTTGCCCTTGATGCCCATGGGTAAAATGGGACCAGAGCTGCCCTGAGAAGCCTATAAGCAAGTGAAGCCACACTTGGCCTATGACAACCAACATGGTAGCCATGACAATACTTCAATAGAAAACAATCGCAGCTAGGCACTGGTGGTTCGTGCCTACCCAGCTACTCTGACAACAATCCAGATGTGATGCGATGGCTGGAGCCTCTGGATCAGGCTGGCAGCCAGACTAATTTATCACAGCGGCCCTTGTGAAACAAAGGCCCCAGAGATGCTGGGGGAGAGAAATGTTCTATAGCTAAACATGGAGAGATAGAAAACACATGTTCTGGTTGGGCGCTGGTGGCTCGCGCCTGTAATCCTTGCTTCTCAGGAGGCTGAGATCTGAGTAGCATGATCTGAAGATAGCCGGGGGCAGGAAAGTCTGTGAGACCTTTATCTCTGATGAACCACCAGAACACCGGAAATGGAGCTGTGGCTCAAAGTGGTAAAATGCTAGTCTTGAGTGGAAAAGCTTAGCGACAGGGCCCAGGCCCTAAGTTCTAGTTCTACAACCTACAACAACAACAACAATAACAAAAGAAAACACATTCTCTGTAACTCAGAAGACAGAAAGTATGAGTGGCTCATTACCTAGATCTTACTCACCTGCCCTCCCTCTGTGATTCCAATCCTAAAAGACAGCAGCAAAATGGCTGCAAAGCCCCCTGGCTCCCAGAATTTGTAACCCACTGTTGGGCCCCGTCAAACCTTCAGAAAGACTGTTTGGCAAACTCAAGTCCAGATTTTCTGTTCAGACTTCTTCCTAGCTAGGCATTGGTGGTTCACTCCCATAATCCTAGCTACTTAAGAGGCTGACACCTAAGGATCGAGGGTCTAGTCCAGCCCAGGAGGGAAAGTCCTGAGACTAATCTCCAATTAGCAACCAAAAAAAAAAAGTCAGAAGTGGAGCAGTGGCTTAAGTGCTAGAGCACCATCCTTGAATGAAACAATTAAAGGACAGTGTTCAGGCCTTGAGTTCAAGCCCCAGTACACACACACACACACACACACACACACACACACAAATACAAAAAATCTATGATTTTCTTTCCCCTAACAGCCTTTTTTGGGCCAGATGTGGTAGCTCATACCTGTAATCTCAGCAGTTTGGAGTTGGAGATCAGAGGATCCCGTGTTAGAGACCAGCTGGGCAAAACTATAAAACCCTATCTCAAAAACAAAAGCAAATTTGGAAGAAAAAAAAATTATGAAGCCAGGTGCCAGTGGTTCACACCTGTAATCCTAGCTACTCAAGAGGCTGAGATCTGAGGATCAAGTCCATGAGACTCTTATCTCAAATTCACTACCCCCAAAAAACCCTGTAGTGCAGCTGTAACTCAGGTAGTAGAAGGTTAGCCTTGAGCACAAGGGAGGTCAGGGACAGAGCCCAGGCCCCGAGTTCAAGTCCCAGGACCCAGCACACATACCCCCAAATATGAAAGGAACAGAGTCGTGGCCCAAGAGCACTTGGCAAGCCCTGGTACCACCCCCAGCTTTGTCTGGGAACGGCATAGGCAGGGTCCCTCTGGACCATGCTTGCACTGGCCTCCCTTGGTCCTGGACACCCAGCTCACAGCCTCTGGGCGGCTCCTCAGGCTGCTGCAGCTCTTGAACAGGTATAGATAGGTGTTTCTGCCATGATTGTTACCTTTCCTTGGCACGGGCTGCTTCTCTCTCCCATGAGCCCCACCCCATCCAGGCCCAGCAAGAGGACAAGGGACAGGGGACAAGACCATCTACTGCCTTATTCCTCATCTAACCACTTTTGTGCTGCTGTGATGGAGCAGGCCCACAGGAGTTGACCAGCCATCAATTAAAAATATTTGGCTGGTGTGGTGGTACAAGCTTGCAATCCCAGCACTGGGAAAACTGAGGCAAGAGGACTGAGTGTCAGTTTGGGACTAATATGCAACACTGTCTTGGGAGAAAAAAAAAAGTTGGGAACTGAACAAGTACACAGATTGTTTCCCATCATTATTCCCTATGCATTAGCAGTTGTAAGTCATTTAGAAATGACCTAAAGTACTCAAATGCCATGCTACTTACATAAGGGTTTGGGGCTTGGGATTCTGGGAGAGAGGGTTCCTGACCCCTCTGCCAATACTGCAGGCAGGAGACTGGCACCCCGTCCCTTAGGGCACTTCTATAAATAGCTTAAGTGTTACGATTACTAACGGATCTTCTCATTTTTGTAAATATCAGACTTATAAACAAACACCGGGTGCATGTCAACACAGCCAGATTCCGCAGGCTTGCTTAGAACAGAGAGGTTGAGGCTGGGAGGGAGGCAAAGGACTGTTGCATTTTAGCTAGCTGATTGCAAGGGACACGTGCATGCCAGACTCAGGACTTGCTGCAGGACCACCCGTCTCTCTCGGGTGAGGATCAGCTCAGTCCTTGCTCAAAGGCCCAGAAGAGCCACAGACCAAAACCTGGCCTGGGCAGTGACTGCACTCTCACCCTGCCATTCTCGGATTCCAGGAACGTCTCTTCTTCTTCCTGGCTGCAGATCAGGCAGTCTGAGCTGGCGCTGCCAGCGGGTGCCGAGGGCCAAAGATAGCAAAAGTTCCGTCCCCACCCCCACCGCCAGGCCTTGCCCAGGAGCAGGCCCAAAGAAGCTCAGCAGAGTGGAGCAGTAGCAGTTACCAGTAGAGCCTAGAGCCCTGAACTAGACAGAGGACCACGGGTGCTAGGTCTGGAGGGCTGGGCAGCTTCCCTGAGTCTGTACACACTGCACATCACACATCACACCTCGTTAGAACAAAGCTTCTTTGTGTGCTGAGAGCCCAGGACTCGATGTACTTAGGAGAGCTGAGAGGAACTGGAGCCCCATCCCCTACAGGCATGCACAGCCTGCTGGGGTTCCTCGTCTGTCAATACCATTTTCAAGCTCTGGAGAGGCAATAAATATGCCCAGTGGAGGGGGGAAGACAGAGAAGAGAGAAAAGGGAGGGGGGAGAGAGAGGGGAAGAAGATGGAGGAGAGAAGGAAGGGGAGAGGGGCTGTGCCTTGGGACTCAGTGGGTGATAAACCTGATTTCAGGCTGGGCAACAGTGGCTCACACCTGTCATCCTAGCTACTCAGGAGGCTGAGATCTGAGGATCACAGTTCAAAGCCCACCCTGGCAGGAAAAGTCCGTGAGACTCTTATCCCCAATAAACCACTCAAAACTGGAAGTGGTACTATAGCTCAAGTGGTAGAGTGCTCGCCTTGAGCTGAAGAGCTGAGGGACAACACCCAGGCCCAGAGTTCAAGCCCCCCGACCAAAAAACAAAAACCCTGATTTCAACTTCCAAAGGGCTGGAGATGAAGGATTTCTGCTTCTGGGAAAGCAGGCCCCATTTCCCCAGAAGAACACACCCAGAGGGCAGGGCCCTCGGTTCTTTCCCCAGCCCTGGGGTGTCCAGGGCAGCCTCTGTCCTGCCAGGGGGTGGCTGCAGGCAGGGACACTGTGGCCAGGGTGTGAGTAGAGCCAGTGGCAGCCCAGGCCCCCGCGGAGCGTCCTGAGAGGGAGGTGCTGCCTACAATTGTTCTCTGCAGAGCGGGAGGCTCAGCTCGGCCCAGACAGACTCCAGATGGTTTTTCACTGAGTGATTTCCCAGGCCAGGAACTGCAGCAGGTCTGGAGGCAGAGGTGTGGCCAGGCGGTGTGGCTGGGCCTCAGAGGACAGGGTATCTCTAGGCTGCCCCAGTATGCTGCGAGGTCCCCCACTTTCATTTTCTCTACCCCCAGGACCTGGGATGGAACTTTTATTTAGAAAGAGGATTTTTTGCTGATCAAATAAATAAAGATTTTAAGAGGGAAATCAACCTAGGTTTGGTCAGCCCAAAGTCCAACAACGGTGTCACTAAAAGAGACAGATAAAGCCGGGCACTGGTGGCTCATGCCTGCAACCCTAGCTACTCAGGAGACTAAGATCTGAAGATTGCAGCTCAAAGCAGGAGTCTGTGAGACTCTGGTCTCCCAATTAACCACCAGAAAACTGGAAGTGAAGCTATGGCTCCAAGTAGTAGGCTACTAGCCCTGAGCAAAAGAGCTTAAAGGGAGCGCCTAGGCCCTGAGTTCAAGCCTCACAGCCAACCTCCCCCACCTCCCCCCCAAAAAAAACAGAGACAAAAAATTGAGCAAAAAAGCTAAGGGACAGCGCCTAGGACCTGAGGTCAAGCCCCAATACTGGCACGGGGGGACAAGGGGCCACCAGTTGCGCACACCTGTAATCCCAGCTACTCAGGAGGCTGAGATCTGAGGATCACGGTTCAATGCCAATCTGGGCAGTAAGTCTGTGAGACTCTTATCTCCAATGAACCACCAGAAAACCAGAAGTGGCGCTGTGGCTCAAGTGGTAGAATGCTCAACTTGAGTTAAAGAGCTGAAGGACAGCACCCAGGCCCAAAGTTCAAGCCCCACAACCGACAAAGAGAG